TTCAAATCTTCGGCACTCGGTTTGGTGTATAATTTTGTCAAAATACTCTGTTCGTTTTTTATATAAGGCGTAGTTGTGTTGTTGCATTTACAGGTACTATCGAAGCCGAATGTACTATTTAACGATCTATTAAATCTCGGAGCGAAAAATGTCGTGAAATTGTTACCTTTATTACGAACACTATATATATTTTCTAAATATCCGATTGTGTGGTTGCTCTCGACGTTCGTTTCGAAATCTATATAAGATATACACAATTCGTTTATGGCCGTAAACACAGTGTACTTGGTCCCGGTTATTGTAAACGGTATTTTTTACATAGGCACCACATCGGGTCTATTGTAAATCATCATGAGCGTATCTTCGGTCACGTCCAAACAGCATTCGATTAGTGATTTTTTTAAAATACAAATAGCCGACGTTTTATCCTAATAAATGATCCGATAGGATCCGTAACGCTCCTATCGGTCTTTCCGGATCTATCAGATACAATTGACGGTTTACGTTCAACAAATACCACTCGAACGGTTCTACAACGATCAATCTATTGCAAGTATCGTCGTCGTCGAGAGTTTTGTCGTAAATCCAATATTCGGTTTGTTGGAAATCACTCTCGTCGAAGGCCTCTCGTTCCATTCTTTTTATCGGCAACACTTCTTTTGATAATGTTGTAATATAAAAAATTAAAGAAATAAAAATCACACATACAGATAATATTGCTAATATTTTTTTAAAATTATTCGCATTAGCGTGGTTGATCGTTTCTTTTGTCTTATTCATATTTGTGTTATATATATATATATATATAACATAGGGATAATATTATAATAAATTCAAGTAAAAAGCATTCTATATTAGTAGTATTATCGCTCGTTCCCAACGGTCGCATCGGTAATCGTTCTAGTATGGATTTTTCGTGCAGTAATAACAAAAGAAAATTCGAATAATGTGGCCGACAGTGGTTTAGGTTGTGAATTAATCGAAAACCATGATAATGATTTTAACGAATGCGCGGATGATGATTCCCGAAAACAAGAAACTCTCGAGGAGAACCAGTCGCGCATCGGACGGTTTTCGATGATATTCATTCAAAACTAAACAATATTACCAAATCAAAACAAAACGACACTGCCGGTAAATACCGAGAAGCCGAGGACAACGACGAAGAAGAAAAAAAAAGAATAAAAAAAATGTGAAAAAAATAAAACTGTCTCCCGTGTTTAACGATAATGTCGACGATTACGCCTTATTTATTGACTCTACCGATGAACCGACTGATGGTAATTTAAACGCGAAAAACCCGTCGTCTTTTAAAAATCTACTGACACCCAATCGCGAACCGACCGATGAAATTATCAACGGTAATGGTGATGTCGGTGTCGATAATAATTCGAGGAAAGAAAAAAAACGAGCTAACAGCAAGAGTGTCGTCGGCTACGAACAACAGCAGAAGCCTATGATGATGCCCGACGTCGTCAGTTATAACGACGATTGTGATTTGAGAAATACACAAGCGATCACTATGGATTTGGTCGAGACTCCTTTGTACATCGTGGAAGAAAATTGGCTGAAGTCGCACGGTTTCAAGGAATACACACACAGTAAAGACTATAAGCAAAACACGGTGGTTTTTTCGCACGAAAATAATAGACGTTATTATTATAGTCAGAAAAAACCTCTACAATTATCGTCTCTTAAAGAATTCAAAAACAGCGGTCATACTATTTGTATAGATTATGATTACTCGTATTCCAGACCTTTGAGTTTTGATCTGGATTGCGTGTTGTGTCATAATCCACCGATGCGCGATGTTCGCGAGTTTAGACATTGCGACGAGAACGCCATCAATAGGTTTGTGAATAGTTTAAGAGAAAAACTCAAAAAAATAAATCCCAATACGCGTATAATGATATTTAATAGAGAAAAATCACACAACGTCCACGTGTATACGGATTTTATGTTGAGTGTGGCGTTTCATTGCCACATCGTGCACGCTTTAAAAACGGAATTGGAATCGGATAATCAATATGTTATTGACTTTCCGAGATTTATGCCGCTTCCGTATTCCGTGAAGAGGATTAACGGCGAAGCCAAACACGACTCGCCCTACAAAGAGTACGAATGCGTTGGTAATTTTTACGATGACTTCTCGATTTTACCCGGTTCGGATTGTTTGTTTCGCGACAATTACAAATTGTGTGATCCCGGAGAACTGACGGACGACGATATCGAAGTATTGCGTATCGATAATGGAAAACCCAAATCTAAATCTATCGTGTACGTGTACACTAAAAATATAATTTTAACTAAAACATTGCCGATGATCAATAGCTCTTACCACGTTCTCGGTTTAAAGAACAACCATCGGGTACCCGAATTGGTTTTGCGATCCGTACAAACTTATTTCCTGAACATCATCAGTGTTTTCTTGCAAAATATGCACGCGCGCAACAATACCAATGTCATAAAAATCAATTACGACAATATCAATAATGACAAATTGGTCTGCGCGTTTATAGCAAACTATAGAAATCGTATAAATTGCTTTTTTGATAAACACAACAAATGTATAGGATCCAAGGAATCGTCGCCAGAAATGCCGACGGTAAAATCAAAAACTCCCATGATTAGCTACTTTGAAGTGGACAATTCGTTGAAACACGTTAATATGGATGATAAATATTTTTATAAAAAGAAAAAATATAACTATGATGATGATGGTAGTTGTAATAGCGATGATGAAGAAAACAGTAATGATAGCTTAATTGACGACAACGACGACGATGAAGAGGATGATGATGGTAATGATGAAGCAGATCACAACGATAGTTTGAACAAGAGTAAAGTTTCAAACATTTATAAAGACGTGGACGAGAATAGCAATATCGATCGTAATATAGTTACAAATCAAAATTATAATATTACAAAACTAGTAATTATAAAGAGAGGCGTGTTTGACTCTTTTGTTTTACACAGCGTTTATAAAAACGGTGGAATGAACATGCAACATTTTGTGATTGCTTTGCATAAAGCTATAAATCTAGATAAACACGACATTAAAAACTTTGTAAATTTCCTGCGCGTGATTTATGAAAATTCTACATACAAGAAACTCGCCGGTTCTCCAAAGTTTGTAGATTATTTTTTAAACAATTACTGTTTGTCCATAGAAAAATCGTATATATCCGATAGTGATTTCATATTGGACTATATGTCTTTGGTCGATAATCACAACATCGGTGTGCATATGTCGGTGTCGGAAGTGTTTAATAAAATATTATTGGATGTTTTGAGCACCGACTCTATAAAAACGTATTACAATGAACAGATATTGGTGAATAAAAAAATAAATCAAAGCAAATTCGACGAGTTTCGCGATATCATCATGAAGCTAATACGAAGATTGAGAATATTCGTGTATCACAACTCGTTCCCGTTTATGATGGATACGACTTATTGGATATACAACAAAGCATCGCCATCGACATCGCCTACTATTTTATTTTACGAATGGCCGACTCCTCTGTTCGAAAAGATCAAACCGTTTTTCACGAAACCCGATTTCTATCACGTTTTCGTCGTTTCTCAATTTCTACAACCCATACCATACATGATCGCCACGGAATGCGGAGTGTTTAATTCCATCACCGGATTGTACGTGTCGCATAGTCCGTTGATTGGTTTCACCAAACGAAGAAAATATATAATTTATCCGCATATTCCGGAAATTACACCAAAACCAAATACTAAAATCAACGAAAGTCTAATAGAATTCCGACAAAAATATTCAAAATTTTTCTACAATCTACTGAAAGACGAATTATATATTTTATATACTTATTATCTGTACGTGCCTGCCATAATTTCATTGAGATTTGTATATAATTTACATTATTCGGATATATTTCGTTTTTTCGACATTGCTTATTCTTATAACGTTACGAAAGCCGAGTTTATAACAGAATTGTACCCGTTCAATCGCAACTTAATCATATATATATTACATTTAATTTCGATTTATGGATTGGAAAAAGTATGTTGTTACGATAAATTATGCCACGTGTTGTTTAATATGCATCCGAGTACGATTACCGCTAAAAATTGGTTGGATAATTATTACAATATCATCGGGAAGCATTTTAATGATAACATTTCTGAATTCAGTATAAATGATGAAGAGTGCAACGAGTCTTTGAATTTTATGAGTATACTTTTGAGTTATAAATCCGAAGACGTGGAATACACTACGCAGGATTTTATCTTGGCGACTTCTCTGCTAGCCGCTCTGTTTAAAGAAATGAACTATGTTGAATTCTTCAAAGCTTTCGGTTACGAAAACGCACCGAATGGAAACAGCATGCCTAATCCTACCGTGCACAACATCATTAAAGATTGGAACGACGCGGAATCGTACAAACCATCATCGGAAACCATGACAAAACTCACTAAAAAAGCCATGGATTTGGTTTTGATCGGTCGGAGTAGTAAACTAAATAAACAAATCGATTCGGTGCTGTTCAGCACCGTATTGCAAATCGCTATAAGCGCTTCTTTTGACAAAGTAAAAACTTTAGAATTGTTAAACATGATGAGCGCGTCTATGGTGAATACCAATGTTTTAAAATTAATGTTTATATTCCACGGTCCCAGAAATGCCGGTAAGACTTACATATTGGATATATTGGAGTACGCGATGAGTCCTTACGTGTACGCTACGATTGGTAAAAATTTGGAAAAACAAAACGAACGAGGCGCCGTATTATCGAAAAATTTAATGATTCGTTGCAACGAATTGGAAAACATCGATGGACAGACGTTAAAAGCTTATACTGGAGAAGACGCCAGCAGTGGTCAGATATTCTACGATCAAAAATACGAACTCAACAACGTCGGGCAGGGTTTATTTTACGTGGGTACTAATAAATATATATTATTCCAAGACGAATACAAGACTGATCCGGTGCTCATACGAAGACTGCACGCGATAACTCTACACAGCGCTCATTACAACGATTCGTCCGTGTTTAATGGTAAATCGTCTCTTTTCAATATGGCGGCAAATATGAATTTTTTCATAGGAACAAACGACATGAGCAACGATCGTAGACATTTTGCTTACATGTGGTTGATGTTTGAAAACTATTTCACGTCGAGAGACGAAAACACGAGAAATCCCAGAGTGAATTTGGTTATAAACGATTCCGTGCACTACAGACAAGTTGTTTATTGCCTGAACAGCACGATATACCGGGTGCTGAGCAGATGTGATTTGTGCTACGAGGTTGGTTTCAAAATATTAAAATCAAAATTCATGAACATGGTTTCCTGCTATTTGATCGATTCATCGAACATCAACATCATGGGCGGCGTTCGATACAACGGCGGTAATTCTTCGATGAACATGGATAAAATAAAATTCTATCAGTCGTTTCAAGACTTGTACGGCATTGATTTGGAATCTATGCCCGACGATTCGTATATTGAAAATGTTCAATGTATAAATCTGGTAAAGAGGATCATGGACGATTTCCAAGTCGAATACGACAAAAATAGTAATATAACCAAGGAGGATTTGGTAACTAAATTGAACAAGTATACTGATCCCGACGACAAATCAGAAGCCGAATCATATTTCACCAGAAACAATGTGAATTTTATGTTTTGTAAAGAATTGAATTACCACGTGTTAAAAAATTATAGATTTATAATTCCCGAGGGAGAGGATGCGTAATAAAATTTGTATAACATTATTATAATAAAGATGAAAATATTTTTATAATTCTTTGTTTTATTATATTTTTATACGAACACAAGTCAAAATAATCTTCTGGTTCCAATATACAACTGTTGGTTATGTGCTCTAATAATACTTCAAATTTATACTCTAAACACACGATAGAATGGATGATTTTGTTTTCGCATATTTTCCTTAGACCATAATCCTTAATAATAAAGTTGAATTTCTTTCTAATTTCATTATTATTTATGGTTTTTAATGTATAATCGGAAAGTTCGTACATTGTTATATTGTCGTCTTTACTTTCGTTTGTACACGCTGCGCAATCGTCGCACGGAGTGACTTGTCTATGATACGCGTTTAGAAGCATTTTTTTTGTTATTATAAAACACACATACACATCAACTATATATACTATATTTAACTATTACTTTTTTTACTTCTCAAATCTTTCAGCTTGTTTTTGTTTAATGGTTTTTTTCTTAAAACACATTCGTGAATATCATTATCGTTGTCAGACTACATCAAATCTTCTTGATCCTTTTCCCGTTTCCTATACTCTTGTTGGTCTTTATAATTGTTGAATTTTAAATTTCGCTTTGCCATATAAATATTTAAAACCTTATTTCGCGACACCGTATACAGATTCAGTAAATAATACAAGACTATGCATATCAACACCAACAGCACTAGTAGTATTAGGAAAAAAGACGGTGATACTAGTATATTATAAGAGAAATACTTATGATTCCTATATAAATCACCGATTTTAAAATATCAGACGAATCCAGTATAAAGGATTTTTTTGAAACTTCGTTGAACATGCTATTTATATGACTTATATGTTCCGTATCGTACATGATGTTTTTTATTTTATCCATAGTCTTGGTAGAATCGTTCGGTCTGTCGGTCGGTCGCGACGCACTACTATATTATGTTTTTTTATTAAGCATAAAGAGTATTTTTAATAGACGAATCCTATTGTTCGTGACTGGATTTATATTCATCATCGTCGTCGTCAATGTCATTGATATTTGTGTTGTCGTAGTCGTCGTCGTCGTCATGAAGAGTTATACCAATAAGTTCCGACATATTTAAAATATAATTTGGATTCTCGGCAGCGGCTGTGGTGGTTTCGTTAGTTTCCGCTGTAGTCTTGCCACTCGTTTCTGTTGTAAATTTAGTATGCGAAATGCTAGACGGATAATTTTCAATATCATCGCTATCGTCATAATTATCATCGAGTTTAATACCGACATCGTCCCAATATTCATCGAATTGTATATCATTCGCGATATTGGCTATATTATTGTCGTCACCATCATCTTCATCGTCGTAATTTTTACCGTATTTGTCGTCGTCATCGTAGTTCGCGTCAGATGATTTTATATTGGGTTCTTTGCCATCATCATCATCATCATCATCGCTTTTGGCGTAGTCGTCGCCGTTGTCATCGTCAACAAACGACAATCTTCTATTGGTTTTTTGTGATTAACTACCATCATCATCATTATCATCATCTTTATTAAAATTTTCGTTGGATTCGTGAAAAGACAAAGACGACGCCGGTGCCGGTGATGGTGGTGGTGGTGGTGGCGGTGATGCTGGTGTTGGCTGCGAACAGCATTGTTCGCAATTCGATGCTAATTTTTTCGATTTAATAAACCTATTCAGCTCTCGATCGTTTCTATCCAACAGTTTGCGTTTTACACCAGTTAAATGATTCGAATATAGACAATTTGTATCGATGTCGTTTTTACTCAAAAGAGATGGGGTATTTTTAAAATATGAATTTAACAAAGACTTTGTATATCTCATACAAATCAAAAGATCCATTTTATTTGTTAACAAATTCTATTTAACGAATACAAAATAAAATAATTCTCTATGTGGTATGTTATAATGATTAGGTGATATTATAATTATATTTCTGTTTTCCAAAGTGACCATCGGGACAAGGTAATCCATGATGATTTTGTCGGTGATTCTCATAAAACGACCGTCTATATTAGCAGTCTTCGTTCGGGCATCGTGGGTGGTCGCGTATATGAAAACCGCCGGATCGTGGGCCATGATATACGAGTACAACTACGAAAAACAATATGAAAAATTATATTTAATAAGTATAAAGTTAGTAAAAAAAAAAAAATATTTACGTTTTGATGCTTCACGTAAAGAGCATATCTACTGCTGACCATAGAATTCATATCACACTCACTCGAGCGAACGACGCGTCAAAACTATATGGAATTATTCAATTTTCTCTTTTTATTTATATTATTCGCAGCGGCGTTGTGTCGTATCCATTCTATAGTTTCTGTGGGCATCGTAACGTATGAAAGAGACGATAATTCTTTGACGATCATTTTTAAATACGTAAAACTGGTGTAGAATTTTTCCCTCTTGTCCTGCTGCTGCGTGAGAACGACGAAATTGCGATTCGTTTGCACGTTGGCTTTGATCGAGTCGTTCGTGTCCAATAAATGTTTGTTGCACAGCACAAAATCACCAACACCGTTTGTTACGATATGCAAATGTATCATATCTATACATTTGTTGTAGATTTTATATCTCTCACGGTTTTTATAGAGTACAGAATATTTTATAGTAAATTATCATTATATACTTTAACGTGCCGCATAAAACGTGTTTACACTGAAGACGACGAAGAGTTTTTTAACGATATCGATAACGAACTTGTCTAACTTGTATTCTAATGATGTAGTACTCATTGTAATAAATCAACTCTGTTAATTTACTATTAATTTTTCCCTTATCCATATTTTTTTTTTAGTGAATTCGAGATCACTAAGTATCACCTCGATCGATCGATCGAGCGAACGCGAGCGAAAAGTCGTAGTCACCTCGATCGATCGAGTGTGTGGACGCGCATGAGTTTTACACGCAGAGTCCTACGGAGTCGTGGTCGTCTTCGCGATTGAACGGACTCTCTCGCGCAAGCGTTCTCTGTCGTAAACTTGGTCAAATATCGATAGCCGTCGTCGTCATTATCATCGTCGTCATTATCGTCTTTGTCGGTTGAGCGACTTATCGCCAAGAGCTCGAATCTTTTAGAATGAACGCTGCACTATGTCGCTGTAGAACGCGGACGACTATTCATATTGCACGCGCGCTAAACTTATATTTTTTTTATTTTAGGACATAATGGAAAACGCCAGATCATTGGTGTTTAGCTGGATCTACGAGAAACCCAAAGCCGATGTCGATAATATCCGCAACTACGTGCAGTGTTTAGATATGTTAAAATGTTTAATCGACAACTCATCTACCGGCACTTCGTCGCTAAAGCGATACGCTAGAATATTCGAATCGCGAAAGCTGGATAATTATCGTCGTGAAGTTTCATTTAAGCGTGATATCGCGATTATATTATCGTCCATGCGTTCTCTGTTGGAACAGACCAAAGACGCCGTATTGTCGGACGGTATGGATATAGACTCGCTCATGGACGATTTACGCGCGGAATGAGAAGATGTAAATAACAAGTACGATGCTTTTTTGAACGACGTCAGTATCGATCCTGTATTCATTAAATTGGGTATGATTTTTAAATAAGCATTGGATTTGGCGGCCTTTAAGAACGCCATCAGGTACGATGATTGTATAAATCTCAAACCTACGCTGACTACAAAAGATATGGCCGATCTGATGAGTTTTAAAAGCGATTTTCTAAAGTTTTCTATAGACGTCGGTGTTTTAATTAAAATGTCCAAACACATCGTGGATTTTATAGATTTTTTATTCCCGTATCTAAAAGAAAGTAATATTTATCATAAAATATATGTGAGCGAGATGTTTGTATTTAAGAAAAATTTTGAACACGCGGAAATTGTATCGGGATTCATTATAAAAAATCATCCGCTGATTGCGTCGATTCCAAAGACTGGTTTGCCCACTACGATCATAATGATGGATCATCGAAAAACACTGCTACAACCACTGCCACCACAACCCGTCCGACAGCATCAGCGGAGCTGCCACCAAAAGCCAGATATCAACTTAGAGATCGATCGTTGATTAGTAAGATACATTTTCTCAGTGACGCTTACGACATTGTTGACGACGAGAGTATCGACGAATCATACCAACCAGAAGATGGTAGTGACTACGACGACGACGACTACATCTATTATAAAAAATCAAACAGAAAAAACAAAAAAAAAACAAGAAAAAAATGAACAAGAATTACAAGAAAAAATTTTATTCTCTATTGTTATAGAACATTCTTTATTGTATACATTTCATTAATCACCAACCATATATGCTGCTTTTGTATTATTAATAAGTATTCGCGCTACTCTAAGTATTCTTATACTCTTATACTCACACAAAAAGTATTATTGAACCAATAAAGAGGTTTTAAAATACAGTCTTTAGTATATATCCTATAAACACCACCACCACACACATCCTATAATAAAACTAAGGCAAGAGGCGCAAGAGATTTTACTCCTTTCGAGGCGTTGCTACGACGGTGAGATACACCACATAAGAGCACTCACACTATAAATTCTCGTTTAAGAGTTGCACTATAAATTCTCGTTTACAAATTTAACGACAAAGTGGGTATTTTTTTTTAAGAGTCGAGCGATCGCGTCTAGTCTGATCGCCAATTCGAGTGCATTCGCATCGAGTTTTTGATGCTCGTGGGATTTCGTGGCAATAAACGCATCCACACGATAGAAGGAAGCTTTTTTTTTTTAAAACGATAATCTCTCTACAATAAATCCGGGCATTATCACTTTGGAGTTTGTAATGCTTATGTGTAATTCTTTCGCGATACTCGATAATATCAAACACAAAACGTCTAAATCAAACATTATATATATGAAATTATAAATATTGATACTGAAAGAAGTAAAAGTTGTCGTTAGATTCATATTATTGTTGCGTTTTCGTTTACGAGAAATCAAAAGCTTACTCAATATAGCCTCTTTGTCGGGAAAATTATTATTAAAGCCATTGTGGTGTATTTTAGCATCGCGACACTCTGAATTTGATATTAACTTTGAGAAAATTAAACGAGTTTTTGATAGTTGTAAATTTTTAAAATATCCGATATTTTGATTATGTATTATGTGTTCTTCGAGTGTAGGCGACCATACCGTATAATTATTAATATTTACCGCCATCGCGTTGGACGGAGTGTAGGCTATAAAAGACTTTGTCATGCAAAATGGCAATCTACCGGACAGAGATTTGGAATATAAACGCAAACCAATATTAAAATTAAATATCACATTAGAATCTAGATGAAGGAAACATTTGGATATGTTGAACAAATTCAATCCCGTGAGTATTATATGAATGCGGCGACCATCATTTTCTACACAGCATGAAGATTCTCCAACTACGCCGCATGATGTATCTGTGTGTTGATTCGCTTCTTGTTGGTGATGACGATGATGATGATGATTCGACGGTAATCCGGAATCGTTGGTCGTTTTCATCGTATTAAAATACGATAATGTGCTTTTCAATAACTTTTCATCAATTTTTGACCATCTGTTGAAAATATAATGATCGCTTTTGCGTTCCGTGACTATAACGTGTGGAAAAAAAAAATTAATCAACTCTGTGAAAATATTCGTCGACTTGTGAAATTTTTTTTTTTCGTACTTACGATAATCTTTCTCGAACGATTGAGAAAAATTTACAATTATAAAATACTCTGATTTATCATCATCACAAACTTCTTTTTTAATTTTTTCAAACTTGCTGTTTACACAACGAACATTGTTCGGAGTGAGATCAAATACCGAACATCTTTTCTCAGCAGTCTTGTTTTTCATCGTCACTTTATACCGCTCGCAATTTTCGTTGGTATCTTTGCGATTATTACAATTGTGGGACATCAAAGACGCCGATGATTGTAGCGGTGACACTACCGTCGGTATCGACGAAATACCCGTAATCATGTTTTTTGAAAAATTTGTAGAAGTCGTAGTTGCGGTAAATGTAGTTACATCAGTTGTCATCACGCTCCAATCTTGAGTGTATACGCGCCGCGGTATCGGCAACACAAAAACAAAGAACGATAAAAAAGAAATGCTTTTTACGACCACCCGAAGTCTACAGAATCCGAATGTATACTGATAAACAAACACGATGAGTCTGGTATCTAGTCATTAGTCAAGTATTATAAGCTCTGCGGCGCACACACACACAAGATTTCTTCTTGCCGCCACTACTGTCGCTGCCGTCGTCGTTGTTGTCGTTAACGGTTACGACGCTGACTGTCGCAATCATAATAAATTATTAATGTAACTCTAAGATCGACGTAATATCCAACTAAGCTCGAATCGATCGACATATAAATATGTGAAAAAAATATTTAATTCAATTATAATTTTTGTCGAACGATTCTTTTCCATTTAAGTTTAATATTAGCTATAACTATTGGTCGATCTTTTCTATTTTCTTGATGGTAAATATAAAACAACCATTATATAAAATTACAGATATTTACTGTGTATAAAAAAAAAATATTTCCGTTCACAGAATTGGAATCAGATTATACATATAAAAAGCGTTTGCCCGACTCTTAAGTCAGCAGACCAAATGCTAACGATCAAGCTACAGCAGTTTTATTAGCTCCTTCAGTTGACGTATGTTGGCGCAGCTCCTGAATCTTGAGCTGCAACCTATTCCTATTCTGATAGTACTTGGTCTGAATCTTTGGCATCTGATTAACCTCCGCTTCCGTTTTGAATTTCTGTATATCTGCTATTTTCTGTGCAAACGACTGCTCCAGCTTTTGACGCAGTTGATCGACTTTCGGTATTTTAAGCTTCCGCTCACGCTCCACCTCTTTGCTAAATGCAATATTCCAATAGTTTATAGTTCTCTTCACATGGGTTAAGACAACCTCCCACAACTGAATCTACACCCTAGCATTTTCGTTTATTTCGGTGTATTCCTGCTCCAATTTACTCAATTCTTTTTCCGAATCCTGCAACTCCTTCGTGACGTTTGTTCCCGGGGCCTATTTGTTGACTTTGGCCAGATTTATCTTACCAGGAGCACAGCTCACCGCAGCTATGAATGCCATAGACATCAGCAGTATCGCCTTATTGGGAACAATTGTCGATAGCAATGATATCAATTGAATATCAAGCTGAGATTTTTATGATATAATTTGTCCGTTTATTTTCTTATATTGTTAGGTTTTTAATTTAGGGTTTATTAAATTAATAATTCGTTTATAACATTTTTATTTATTACATTTAAAGTATACACTATATATATATAAATTTAATTTTTACAACCACTAAGTAACATTTGAATATTGGATGCGTGAGATTTTAAAGGACTCGTTACAATTTGATTTATAGATTTTATACATTCGTTAATATCTGTCATTTCTTTTTTCAACTCGACTTTTGACAAATTTGCCGTGTCTTTTGTAAAATTAAAATATTTAAAACAATCGGTGTTACGTAAAAAAACTCGAATTCGTCCATTCGCCTCTTTATTTAGAACCACACATACACTAGATTGCGATGACGATGACGACGCCGACTCCAAATGATCCAATCGAACGAAATCCTCGATACGATGATAGTTATGATCATCATCATCTACAATAGCCATGTCCTTACGGAGTTGATCGGCTGCGTTTTTCAATAGATTGAAGTTTCTCGTCATTTCAATCTAGACATACACATACAGAATTTATTACTTATATATTCTCGTTCATCAGCATCGCTTATTAATAAATAAATACTCACTTTGATATAGAAAAATCGACGATTATTACTTTTAAAATGTTTAAACTATCTTCAGAAGACGATGACAACGACGACTGCGATGATTTGATCCTTCTTTTAAATTCTACGCGCACGTCTTTTTCCGTTTCTATTTTATCCACATCTTTTGTATCGAAAAAACCACTACGAGTTTTTGATTTTAAAAACAAACATTCTAACAAAACGTATTGTCGTAGTCTCGATGATGATGATGATGTCGTGTATTGTTGTTTTATAAAATACAAGTAGTTTATCAGAAGAGAAACGCAAAACAACTGTTTACAAAAACTAAAAGAACCTATATTTATAAAATCTTCCACTTCTCTACAATCTAATGAGCATTTAATGATGTGAAATAAATACTCATCGTTAGTTCGCAATGATATTTTATTCGTTTTAATATACTTTACAGCCAGCAGTTCGTAGTTTTTCAACATTTTATAAATCATCAACGAACCGTCGCCGCACATTTTTTTTACGTCTATCGGTGGAAAGCACAATACTCGATTCCCCGACAAATCGAAACTCGTTGAAAAATATTTGTTTTTCAGCTCGCAATCGTCCACGATTGATAATAATTTTTTGTAATTTTCCAAATTATAGTCTATAATTTTACAATTATCACTTTCAACGTGTTCGCCGTCGACACTATCAAAACGGTTGACCGTGTTTGTGTTGAGGCAATATTTGCCGTACGCAGCACCGCCTGAATATCTATTGCTGTACGTAGTACTCTCGGAACAGATAATGTCGACGCTGCCGTCATCGTCGTCGCTTTCGCTGTCTAATGTTATTCTAGAATTACGGCACAGACCGCAAACGTCGTTAGGATTTGTGCATTCGCTACACGTTAGTTCGTTATACACCGCATTAGGATGTGGGTAGAGTAACAATTTATTAGTTTCGGGTTGTTGCGTATTGTCGTAATCATCGTTATCACTATTATTGTCGTTAGAATCTGAAGAGGAGACGCGTTTGAGACCGGTGAAAAAAGAATACACAGAAGACAACATATCTTTGATGTCTAAAATGATAAGACTAGAAAAATAGATATTACTCAGGTTTTATACTAATATCCGAGCTCTTTATACTTAATGTTATACGTGTGTATGTGTGTGTGTGTTTAGAATTATAAATTCAGATGTTGGCAGTGTATTTTTTTTATACCAGTACGTGCATACTTCCCTATCCATAGACATATCAAAAGACCTATGAGAATCAAACACAAGCATATTATATAATTACTGACGATAAACATCGATACGGCTGCCAATACGCCGGAAACGGCCAAACTAAACGATTGTATGCTAAAACCAACACTTAGAGATTCGCAATTTATGAACGGATAGAAATCAAACAATCTCTTGTCTTCGTGTTGATTTAATTGTTCGAAAAAATCACGAGTACACGATTCGCATTTGTAATAACGTCTTATTAGAGTATGCGATGGTGGTTATTAATTAAAGGTTTCTTTACTGTACAGTATTTAAAATGCACTCCGTCGTACAGAGATTTCATGTAATTTTTTGACGATGGTTTATTTGTGTTTTTCAAAGAAATCCGCTTTTTAACTATACGATTTCCTTTATATTTATTCTTTTTCGATTTAATTCGTCTCTTTTGTCTATCGATGCGATTGACATCGGAATCATCTTTGTTTTTATTATAATCACCATCATCATCACTATTGTCATTTTCTTCATCATTTTCAATAGAAACCACACTCGTTGTAGTATTATTTATCAACTCTTCGGTATCGCTATACATTATATTATTTAAATTTTCATTTTCTTCTTCGCAAAATTCATCGTATTCATCAATATCATCATCGATATTAATTTTTTTAAAAGCATCATTGGAAGAAACCGAATCGAAAGTCATGTTTAAGTAGAATAGATATTATGACTACTTTAGCCGATATTTTAAACGACGATAACAACAATCG